GGTGTGTTTGGTGGGAATGGAACTTGTTGCTGCATTGCCCGAGCAGCCGACTGGTGCGTGGTAGTCGGCGACATGGGTGGTGATGCGATGGACTGCTTAGGATTTCTGGGCAACGGCGATCCGAGTGGCCTGTCCGTGGGTCGGGGGCTGGAAGGTAGACCTGGACTCATGAGTGGGGATGCGACGCTCCGGTTAGCCATCATAGAACTATCGGAGTTTGCAGGACTAAGAAGAGCATTCAGAGAGTTGGCAGGCGGGTGACGGGGAGAGAGTGGAAGGCCCGATTGCAGCGCATTGAACTGACGCGGCGAAAGGGGAACCGGGACTGCCTGAGGCTGATCGCCTGCTGGTGTTTCAGAAGGCGTCGCTTGTTTGCTCTTGCTTTCGCTTTTCTTCTTCTTCGACTTGCTTCGAGCTTCCTCATCTTTCGAATACATGGCCTCACGGACCCTGTCATCTTCCTCTCGAGTCTTTCTCCTTCCTCGCAGCTCCACGACAGGTATCTCATCCACCTCCAGTATATCGTCGTAATCAGAGTCGACATCGTCGCCATGCACGGCCCGGTGGAGATGTGCGCTGGTCGTTGTGGGTTTCGACAGGTTGAGTGGAGCTGGCGGTGCCTTTCGCAGAGGCTGCGGAGTCTTTCTTGGGGGTGATTCAAAGCCATCGCCGCCGACGACAGGCGTAGCTTGGATCAGCGATATCTGCGGAGGCTGGAGCTGTGAGCTGCCCGGGACGAGCGTCACGTCTGAGGTGTTCTGGGGAGGAGTGGCTGGCTTCGGAGCTTGCGCTGGGGGCTGAGCAGCATCGCCGGGCTGCAGCAATGTAGAGTCGAGGCCGAGGCCCCTGCTACCAAGGCTAAGGGGTTGCACGGAGTAGTCTGTAGGTGAGTTTACGGCTGACGAGATGTTGGATGCCGTGGAATGAGACGGCGACGTCGCTAGCTGTGAGTCTGGGATGAGATGCGGTGCGGGGTGCTCTTGCGTCAGGGGCGATGTCTTGTGCTCGGTGGCCTTGGTGTCGCTGGGCCGAGCGGCGTCACCAGGTTGCTCACCGAGGGCTGGCGACTGGCTGGTCTCGCGTTCCACGACCGAGTCGAACGTGTCGGACTTTTGCAGCGAGCCGGGGCCGGGTGGCAGCTGCTCCGCGTACTCCTTGAACTTTCTGCGGTAGCGGTCCTTGTCCTTCAGTGCGCGCTCGAGGTCTTTCTGGAGCCCGATGATCATGGACCGTTGCTTCTCCACCAGCCGCCAGAGCTGCGCGTTGTGGCTGGACGTGTTCTGCTTGTCCTTCCACAGGGCCAGCATGGCGGCCTCGGGTGAGCCTGCAGCGGCCATCAGACTGGCCATGTCTGGGGGGTTGGCGGTGCTCGTGTCCTGCGACGGCCGGGGCGCATGACTGGCGGGCGGGCGGTTCTGCGAGGCCGTCGACGACAGCGAGGATGCGGCCGAGTCTATCGAGGGGTTGCGGACTGGCACCGTCGGCCTCGTGTCTGGCCGGTTCGGGCGTGATGGTGGAGGCATGGTGACGGGCGAGGCTGGCGGGGAAATGCCAGCCGAAGACAGCGTGGGAGACGACAGCTGGCGGAGTCTGGCATACGCAGACGGCCGCGACGGCTGCGCGAAGCTCGGGGTGGGGACGGTGGGTGGTGTAGGCGGGTGCGCTGGCTGGGTTGGGCGAATGGGCGAGGTATGCTGTTGCTCCTCCGCCAGCAATGCGTCGAGCTTCTCGCGCGGACTGCGCGGTTCGTCGAGGCGTGGTGAGTCGCGGTAGCCCGGCTGCTGGCACGGGGGGCCGCTCTTACCAGTCGAATACAGCGGGCTTGGGACGGGTTTGCGACGTGCTCGGGGCGGGTGTTGCTCGTCCGCCGTGGCCGGCACGTTGTGCGAGCGCGTCGAGTCGTCGCGAAGGCTGCGAATACTGTCCGCGAGCGACGGCGCGGAGAGAGAATGCAAGGGCGACGGCGGCTGGTGCTGAGGGATGTGATGTGCCGCCGTCCTTTCCTGGAGCATGTGCATGTCTGTATTCGTCGCCGCCATGTCCAAGGCTCAAACGGGCTAGCGGACGACCGGGATATCTGGTCGACGGTATAGCAGACGGCCAGTGGGGATTAGTGTTTCGGCGACGCTCTGAGTGTCTGGTGAATCCAAAGCTGCCACGCTCAGCAGTCTCGTCAGCATCTGGCGTCCCGCGCAGCTTGAGACAAGTCTCCGTCAGAAGGAGCAGCCGGAACAGAAGAGATTTGGGCTTGTCGCCTGCCGGCTTCTCATTCGGCGCCATAACCGCCCTTGTAGGAGCCGGGCCAAAGTCAAGCCTGGTTCCTGCAGCAGAAGCGAGCCCTGTAGGCCGTCGTCTCCATCATCGCCTCCGCACGCCTTGATGGCTGCGTCCCCTCACGTTTTAGATATGCCCAAACCCGTCTGCATCCCCGTCGACCACCTGCCCGCGTAGGCGCCAGAAAGCTACTTTGGCTTTTCCATTGGCGCACACCTGTGGCTTGCTAGCCGTAATCAACTACGAGCCACCATCCACCGCCCCTCTTGTGCAGAAAGAGATGTGCGCGTGGTCTGCTGTCGCTGGTGCCCGCAGGCAAGCTGACAACAGCCTGACAAGCCAAAAGGTGCGAAATGCCCACCTATTGGCTACAGCCCAGATGATTTGGCATGCGAGTCCAGAGAGTGTATTGATTCGGCGGCGCGATAATCTGCGACTCATGGCAGACTCGAGAGCAACTCCGCCAGCCGTCTGGCCGTCGATTGGATGGTCGTGGTAATAATGTCTCTTGCGCACGGAGGCGTTCGAGTTGAAGGGCTGCTGGGTCGCTGCAGCACGAAGGATTTGCCAGGCCGAATCGGGGCTAGATCCGTCGATCACTTGGCACTCGTAGATGCAGCTCCGAACTCTCAGAGACAACCACCGCATGCCGTCCATCACCATGAGTGCCCAACCATCCGCTCTGCGCCGCGGCTGAATGCTCGAGTATGCTGACGGCCGATACATGCCGCTTGGAACGCATATCAGAATCATACGATTCCTACCGACCTGCGATTACATCTGAAACTCATCCGCCGTCAAGCGAAGTGTACTGCAGGGAGCCGCTGATAGTTCCACGACTAGACCGTAACCGTCGCCACATGGTGATCACGAGCTGCACCTAGGCTGCGCAACGAACCCAAGGCCCAGACTAATAATTCCTCTTTGCAATACTCTGTCAGGGGTAATTTGGATGATTGAGGCCGAGAAACGTCTTTTGTTTTTTCTGTCTCTGCGCTAGTACCCACCGCAAGCCGTGGAAATGAGATGCGACATTGCAGCGGACATCATCACTCGGGCGAGTAAAGATGCGGCATGAACAGCCTCCTTGATGGTCCAGCACCCACATCCTTCGACCGCACGCATTCCCTCCACAGATGCAGGGTGAGCCTGAGGCAGACGCTACCCCAAAGACATGGCAAGCATAACTCGGAACAGTTGTTTCCATGCGAGTTGGGTCAAGCCGCAAGCCTCTCTTACGTCTAATTATACATCGCATATCCAGCTCCGAGGGGCAACACCGAAGTATTATGATCTTCGTGATTGCAAATACGAGCTTTGCTGCGTTGAACAGGACAAATCACCAACGTCTAAATTGACAAGACTGCATCAACAGGAGCGCGGACATTACATCTCTGGTAATATGCGGAACTTACGGTGAAAGGAAAGCTATCCTCATTTGCAAATGGTAGTCTTTCATCAATGCATGCGCATACCTGTGAGAGCTCCGTCCGGAATGTAAGCTCCCGTTGGACCGCTAACCGCCGCCTGGACCTACAGTTCCTGCCATCAAATGTGGAGGAAGTATAGATCGGAGAGTGAAGTGGCGCCAAGATGGAGGCCAATAACGCCTCATCGGAACCTTGTGATGGTTTGCGCCATGGGACAGCTACTGCGTGGGTAAACCCAGTATGGAGCCCCTTGCTCAATGAACAAACGCCTACCATTATGCCCTCAAAACGCTCCACTTCCCATTCGCTACATCTGCGTACATCCACAGGTATTTTGCTTTGGAAATTACGAGGAAAGCGATGCAGGCAGATACAGTGAGAACATGGACGGGTTCTGCCTGTCCAAGAAGAAGAAACCGCATGGTGTAGCGTTCGAGGCTAATTCACGGGAGGCAATGCGTACCGAGCGAACGTAAAGTCAAAGCCAATTTCTGAGCAGGGAACAATGTGGACGCTTGAATAACTTTCGAAAATTGCTATCATGGAAGATAATATCGTCATTGTTGCCTCGGCGTTTGCAAACCACTTGCTTCATAACGTACTGTTCGAAACAGTGAGCAGCCGTCAATCAGCATTACGAAACCGTGTGTTGAGTGGCATACTGTCCATTGAACTCGAGTCCCGAGTTGTCAAGCGAATTCGCGAGCATTTTCACATTCCCCACAGCTTTTGATCCATGTCAGGATGACCGGACCCAAAACAGACATGTGCTTCAATATTCAGATTGTTAATTCCCATAGCTACAAGACACCTGGCTGTCACCAAGCAGCTGCTACTCTGTTATACAAAATCTTAGGTGTAATTTATCTATCGATCCTGACATCCTTCACACTGACCTTGACAGCTTCGTATCCGATGCTGGGCAACTGGGGTAGCGATCAGTTCGACTTGTCAACTTCCAAATGAGTTGCACTAATGGACTTCATCTGCAAAGAAGAGTTTGAGGCCGGGTGAAGGTCTGCACAACTACACTGTCTCTGAATCACAGATCGCGTTTTCGATGCAGAGACAGTGAGACAAGGCTCCGCATTGCTGGACTCCGTTGTAACACTGTCGAAGCATCGGCTCACCTCCAATGGATATACTAAGAAAAAGCGTCCGATATACTCAATGTAGTTGTGTCGTTAATCCATGTTTTCCTTCTAACTGCGTCTTGTAGACACGGGTCTATGCCTGCGCACCATACAGTATAATACACTCGTAGGCTTTCGTACTCCTTACAGCCCCACTCTTCCACTACCGCCTCGCTCCATCTTGTTCAATCGTCGCGCAGTAGCAATCTGCGATTGTTAGCCCATTGACCCACCAAGACCACAGCCACTCTCCTAGGGCCAAACCTACCTGTGTCCTTGTCTTCTGGCCCCTCACGGGCAAGCCCATAGCGTGTCTCCTTCCACGATATGTGCCCATATCCCTCAATCTCCGGATGTCGTCCTGCACTTGCCGCCGTAAATCGTTCTCAATCTTCATGTTGGCCAGTTCCGCGGTCAGATCCATGACGGTGGCGTTTTTCAAGCTGCCGACCTTCGCCCACGGGTGGATGTAGAATTTCGCCATAATGCGCTGCGAGACCGAGGGCCCGATGCCGAAGAAAGATTCGAGGGACCGCTTTACGAGCGTCGCTTCCGTGAAGCTGAAGCCGTTGATGAACACCTAAACCGTCAGTAAGACGCGCGCAAGGGGAAATGGGCGTTCCAGTAGCGTACCATGGCGGGTCAGCGTTCCGACGGCGAGTTCGCGTGTTGGAGTGTCAATTGTCGTGTCTGATCTCGAACTCCAGACTTCCGTTTCCCGCTAGACCCAGCCGGCGCTAGTGCGACAGTGCGGGCAATGGCTCTACCTAGGTAAAACGCAACGTTTCAACACCTCCTCCACCATCGCATTCCGCAGGGGGCTGTCCAAACTACTTAACCTTGCGACTTCCCTCGATTGTTTCCCGACACAATCAGGCACCATGGCTACCATCCAGAGAGCTGTCATTTCGCTCCTCTTGATCCTCTCGATCACTTTCGTCTTCTTTGCTCAGAGCACCGAGGCTGCAAAGGGTCCAAAGATCACTCACAAGGTGTGTATAGCTTTCAATCGGATGCATAGACGGACTTGCTGACTAGATCCAGGTCTACTTCGACGTTACCCACGGCGATGAAGAGCTAGGCCGCATCACCATCGGTCTCTACGGCAAGACCGTCCCCAAGACCGCTGAGAACTTCCGGTACGAACGGATACAAGTCTACGCATAATTCTGGGGCCTGACATAGACTACAGTGCTCTCGCTACTGGCGAGAAGGGATTCGGTTACGAAGGCTCTACTTTCCACCGCGTCATCAACAACTTCATGATCCAGGGTGGTGGTAAGTCCGACTCATGCCCGGCTCTAGGATTCACAATGCTGATCAACGGCTAGACTTTACCAAAGGCGATGGTACAGGAGGTAAGAGCATATATGGAGAGAAGTTCCCCGACGAGAACTTCAAGCTCAAGCACACCCGCAAGGGTCTCCTCAGCATGGCCAATGCTGGCAAAGATACCAACGGCGAGTACCCTTCCCTTTCACTCCCTGCAGCATGCACTGACTGTCATAGGCTCTCAGTTCTTCATCACCACCGTCATCACCAGCTGGCTCGATGGCCGCCACGTCGTGTTCGGAGAGGTTCTCGAGGGCTACGAGGTCGTGGAGAAGATTGAGAACGTGAAGAAGGGTGCTGGAGACAAGCCGGTCCAGACCGTCAAGATCGCCAAGAGCGGAGAGCTCGAGGTGCCAGAGGAAGGTATTCACGCGGAACTCTAGACATCAGTACGCATTCTTTGCTATTGAGTCGACCCCTCAGGTTGGAGAGCTGCTGATAGTTGTACCTTTTTCTTCAAGATTTATACGGTCATGCTGAACCAGCCATTCCTGGCGACGAACTCGATATCACAGCGACTCCGTCTCACGACGATATCGTCAACATTGCTGAGGTATCCCAGGCCTCTTCCACCAAGGGCAAAATTCCTGGCCTGGCTGCTGCTGCTGGTTCTGCTGATGGTTTGTCGGTCGGTCGGAAGCTTTTCTTTATCGGGGCTGTCGTTGCGATTTGCGTGCTCTTCTTGAAAACGCGAAATGGAGGGCAAAGCAACATTATGGGTGGGCTCAAGGAGAAGAGCATGGCCTAGATTACGAGAAATGCAGAAACGTTCCTTTAGTAGAGCATTGATCTGATACATGGTGAACATGGCTCTCTAGTGTGTCAAGACGCTAGCTAGGGTAGAGGGGATACGATGTCCTTGCAGTCCCTGCATTACCCGCCGATGACGATGTGCAACGGCCAGGGCACGTCCAGGGTAAAAGCAAAGAAGACAAATGTTGGGTTATCTAAAGCTATGGCACAGTCGCACAGGATGGCCTGGAGCCTGCACAAGAACCTAGGAAGGTCGCCACTACATTCAACTGCGGCCATGTCACAGTGCATGTCGCATGAAAAGCAAGCCTGCTGCAGCACACGACAGCTTCCATCTGTGACGTTCACCGCTCCCCACTCGCCACAGCCTGAGAACTCTGAGAGGGAGCGCTAGCGCCAACGGGGACTAGTGCGGGAAGGGTTCTCCGACACGCTTTTTTAACTTACCTGCGGCCGTCTCCCTCTTCCCTAACCACCCACCCTCCAAAACTACTCTGTGTGTATTGCACAACCTTACAAGCTCTTTTCCTGTGAAGTCCTTTCTTTTGGTCTTCACTTCTTTACTTCTCGTTTTCAGGACAGAGGCGTTCCCTTCTTTCCTGACAGAACGAGTCTCAGGCACCCGCCTGCGAGTTACGAGTTTCGTCACTTAGACCTGCTACTTTTCGTCTGTCGCTCACCGCCGAGCCAGCCGAAGCCAGCACATCTGTAATTTGCGCCCTGCACATTGCACTCCCAAACACACCCTCAACCAACTCGATTCCACCACGCCCATCATGGCTGAACAACTCGACATGGGTCGTCTCAACATCAACGACTCCCAGCACAACCCCCAGAACGGCTTCAACGGCGAGCGTTCTGCCTACATCCCCCCTCACCTTCGCGGCCGTCCCCAGGGCGGTCCCGGAGGCCCTGCACCCATGGACGGCCCGCCCCCGATGATGAACGGCGGCGGTCTCGGCGGCAGCGCGTGGGGCCCCGGAGGGTCAGTCAACACCCAGGACACAAAACAGGAAGGTGTGCTAACTGGTGACAGTCAGGGTCCTCCCCCTCAGATGAACGGCGGCGGCGGTGCCGGTGGCTGGGCCAACGCACCCAACTTCACTCCCCGCGGTCGCGACGGTCCCCCAGGCGGTGGATGGGGCGGTGCCCCTCGCGGCAACTTTGACCCCAACGCCTACGGCAAGCCCGGCGGCGGTGGCTCTGGAGGCGCCCGCGGGTCTGGCGACGGTGCCTGGAAGGACGGCAAGCACGTTCCCGGCCCGCCCAACCAGCGCCTCGAGCGCGACCTCTTCGGCATGCCCAACGACCCCTCCAAGCAACAGACCGGTATCAACTTCGAGAAGTACGATGACATCCCCGTCGAGGCCTCTGGTCAGGGTGTCCCCGAACCCGTCACACGTTTCACAAACCCGCCTCTCGATGACCACCTGCTGAGCAACATCGAGCTCTCCGGATACAAGGTTCCCACTCCTGTACAGAAGTACTCCATCCCCATCGTCATGGGTGGCCGTGATCTCATGGCTTGTGCCCAGACTGGTTCCGGAAAGACTGGTGGTTTCCTCTTCCCCATTCTCGCCCAGGCCTTCCAGAATGGCCCCTCTCCTCCTCCCGCACAGGCTCAGGGTGGATACGGACGTCAACGCAAGGCTTACCCCACTTCGCTCGTCCTTGCTCCTACCCGTGAGTTGGTCTCCCAGATCTTCGACGAAGCCCGCAAGTTCGCATACCGCTCCTGGGTCCGTCCTTGCGTCGTCTACGGTGGTGCCGACATTGGCTCTCAGCTTCGCCAGATTGAGCGCGGCTGCGATCTTCTCGTTGCTACCCCCGGTCGTCTCGTCGACCTGATCGAGCGTGGCCGCATCTCCCTGGCTAGCATCAAGTACCTCGTTCTCGACGAGGCTGACCGCATGTTGGACATGGGTTTCGAGCCTCAGATCCGCCGTATCGTTGAGGGTGAGGACATGCCTCCTACCGCTGCCCGCCAGACACTCATGTTTTCGGCCACCTTCCCCCGCGATATTCAGATGCTCGCCCGCGACTTCTTGAAGGACTACATTTTCCTTTCGGTCGGTCGTGTCGGTTCCACTTCTGAGAACATCACCCAGAAGATTGAGTACGTCGAGGACGGCGACAAGCGCTCTGTTCTCCTTGATATTCTCCACACACACGGTGCTGGTCTCACCCTGATCTTCGTCGAGACGAAGCGTATGGCCGACTCGCTGTCCGACTTCCTCATCAACCAGGGCTTCCCCGCCACCTCCATTCACGGTGACCGCACTCAGCGTGAGCGTGAAAAGGCCCTGGAGATGTTCCGAACTGGACGTTGCCCCATCCTCGTCGCTACCGCTGTAGCTGCCCGAGGTAAGTTTTCCAGGTTGTTCAAGCCTTGAGCAACCACTGTATTCTGCAAACCCTTGAACACCTTGCTGACTCATTTCAAAGGACTGGATATCCCGAATGTCACGCACGTAGTCAACTATGACCTTCCTACCGACATTGACGATTATGTTCATCGAATCGGTCGTACTGGACGAGCTGGAAACACTGGTATTGCCACTGCTTTCTTCAACCGCGGCAATCGCGGAGTCGTACGCGATCTCCTTGACCTGTTGAAGGAGGCCAACCAAGAGGTCCCTAGCTTCCTCGAGTCCATTGCTCGCGAGGGCTCCGGCTTCGGTGGAGGTCGTGGTGGCCGTGGAGGCGGCCGTGGCCGTGGCAACGCTGCTACCCGTGACGTTCGTCGCATGGGCGGTGGTGGTTTCGGTGGCGGTGGCGGTGGCCAGTGGGGAGGTGCTCCTCAAGGTGGCTACGGAGGTGGCTTCGGCGGTGCTCCCGGCGGTGGCTACGCTCCTCCAGCTCCCGGCGGCTACGGTGGTGGCGGCGGCGGCTTTGGTGGAGGCTACGGCAACCCATCCGGCCCTGGCGGCAACTCTTGGTGGTAAACGCGCAACGCACCGCTTCACGATATAGCCAGCCCGGGACACATTTTCTTCTCTACGATACCCTGGGCCTTCGTGTCGCCGCTACCGATGGCTTGCTTTCGATTTCCTTCACTTGCGAATGTTTTCTGCGAATCTTTCCCGGTTACCGCGGATCGATGCGGAAATCTGGAATCTCATACCCCAATCAGCATATAGACAGCGACTGTTTTTTTGCGGATCTGCCTGTTTTCGAGCTCTTCTCGCATACGATACCCTTCGACGCACTCTTGTCGAGCTCGAACATAGATGGCAGGACCCTCGTCTTTCTCGCAAAGGCATGCATTACGAACATTTCACGACTTCGCTCTTCTGCAAGCATGCTGCTTGGGGAGCTTTAGATTCTCGCTTTCCGAGTCTTCCACACGCGGATGACCTCTCTGAGCATTTCCTTATCTTACGACAAAAGCGGTTCCTTTTTTCCCGGTCATACCCCTCGACGACAACGTCTTTCTCGTCGTCCTTGCGTCTCTCGGTCTCTCCACACGCGGAGAGTAGCAGCATGACCCTGTTTTGGACGACGGAAAAGTTTACTGCATAGATGGCGTTCATGAAGGTCTAACCACGACC